TCAATATTTTGTAGCAAAGAATAAGTGTTAGTATCAAATGAAGAGAAAGTGATTTTGAGTAACAGAAGTAACGTTAAGATTGGTAAAACAATTTTTCTAAAGCTCTTAAACAGCTCTGCTGGACCACTCTTCATCTGCAACTGATGTTTCGAAGATCAAAATTACTTATCAAGTTATATAATACTACAGTACTACTAGTGGCCATGAAACATATTATGTGAGTTATATATAATATATGTTTGGTTTTATGGACTACTTGTAATTAATTAACAGCATAGTATATGTACATTGTACACGAAGAGTTGTACATGATTTGTACTATGTAGGGGTGTTCTGGATAATAACCGATCCAAACCGAAAAACCGAACCAAAAAGATAAAATAAAATCGATTTTATTTGGTTTTGGTTTGGTTTGGTTTTAGATTTTTGAAAATCGATAGTATTTGATTTGGTTATGATTTTATTCAAAAAAAAACCGAAGAAATAACCGAACCGATGAATTATATACATATATTTTATTAATATACATACTTAATATATTGTTTTTATAAACAATTTTAAAGATCTTACATATTTTCATTAAAATTTCTTTATAATTTACTTATTCAAAACAAAAATTCCCAAGATGAAACATTTATCTTATTGATTTCATGTATATGAGTGTCTATGACAATTTTTGTGGGACTGAAAATATTATTGTCTCTTCCTTCTAGATCAATATAGTGAATTTTAAAGCTTTATTGGTAGTAAATTTAATGATCGAAAGTTAAGTTATTTAAGTCATTCTAACTATTTTTCGTTTTGAATGGATTGTTGTCACTTTTTCACATTTTGAATGAATTGTTTTTTTATTTTTGTGTATGGTTAATAACCGAATAACCGAACCAAATCGAACCGAAATCGATAATCACCAAATCGATAAATATATATTATATTTGGTTTTGTTTGGTTTGGTTTTGATAATCTTAAAACCGATTAAGTTGATTTGATTTTGATTTTGACCAATAACTGATCCAAACCGACCCGTGAACACCCCTAGTACTATGTATTCTAATATACACTTCAATTTTGCTATTTAAAGCTACTTTCATAACAATGGTTATATCATCTCTAAATGAGAGTATATCTGCCTTTTCTAAAAAAAAATTTGCCTTTACTACCACAAAAGGCACATATGTCCAAAAATCTAACTTCCAATGGGTAATTCGTTTAAACTAATACTTATTTTTTATTTTTGATCTAATTATATAAATTCAACTAAAAAAGATCGACTGTACGTGACCCAACCTAATCCATAACCCAAATTTGATGGGTAATAATCTTGTACTTCTTTTATTTTCTATTTGTTGTTGAATAACTACAAATTTTTGATGGGTAACACAAATGTGATTTTTGTGTTAGCAAGGACAAATGTTGTAATTTTTGTGTTAAAAAAAGAATAGTTAAGTAACTTAAATGAAAAAAAGAACTCATAATTACGTTACCATCTATGAAATTTACTCTTAGAATGAAACAATACCTACTGTTGACTTTAAAAGAGAAGGTGGATATATAGAGAATCTGAGAGATCGTCCATTTGTAGTTGACATATAATTAGAAGAAGCTTTATATATGAGTAATTCAGAACGTGATATCTTAATTCGTGTAATATACTTTACTTTCTTTTCTTCTTTGAAGTTGTCAACAACCACTGGCAAATTTTAGTTACCAATCATGAGACAAAAATAACTATGAATTGTGGTGTAGTGATGAGATTGTTCACCTTTAATATGAAGTTTCGTATTCGAGCCTTGGTCATGGAGAAAATTCCCCTGGTAACGCCACCCTTAATTAAGCCCTGCAGTGCGCAATCCAAATTTCCAGAAACGGAGTGGGAACCAGGAAAAAAATGAGTCAAAAAACCGGTTAATTGCTTAATTTCTAGTGTAATTAAAGTTTGAATCATGAATAGTATAATGAAAACGTTACACAAGTGGTAAGGAAGGACATGAAATATGACTACTTGACATTCATTCACTAATTAACAATCAGTCAACTGGATCCATTCAACTGAATAAGACAAAATATAAATAACGTTACTAATTATTAACTGAGATTTGGTAGACCTTGGGGTGCTCAAGTCAATTTCTATTAATTACGCATGCAGAATGTAATATTTCATTCCAAATTGATATTATACTTCAATTGCTTAAAACATGATGTTTGAAGCTGTGCCTGCGAGTATTTAGCGTAGAGTTCATGTGTGCAAAAGGCTGATGGGAAAGAACTAGACTTTAATGGTTTGGTTGTTATCAGTTTTGGTTTGATTGTTCGATTATTAACCATATATCAAAGTAAAAGAAACGATCCATTCAAAAGGGAAAAGAAGGCAACAATTCATTCAAAGGAAATGAATTGTCTTCATGCCATTTTGGATCTTATAATTCTTATACCAGAACTTCATTTGTCTTCATGCAATGTTTACTATTTTAAACAAATTCAATTAGTACTAAAGTGAAGAAGGTGCTATGAAAATATATACTTATTAAGTTGCAAGCATCACATGTCCAAGCAAATTAGTGTTGATCTTTTTTTACTTATTTATCAATGAATGCATATCATTCTTAAGTTCACATTCCGATCCCAAAAAAGATGAGCATTTATCGTTATTTCTATTTTCGATTAAGATTGAACTCATGGGGAAAGGGAAGAATTGAAAATTGTTTCTATTGGTCTTGCATTTGATCAAATGCGTTAATATATGAAGTACTAAGATTTCGTTTATGGCTACATAACGTTTTAGTGTGCATGTCTACTTCTTTGGTTGATCTATAGAACCATAGTAAATTAATCCTCAGTATTTTATTTTATTTTCATTTTTGTGTTTAGAGCTTTATCTCTTTCATTACGATTGTATTTACCAAATTATATATTTCATAAATTGTAAATATCTTTATAATCGCACGAAATACGAACAAATTAACTCCTCCCTCTGTTCATTTTTAGTTGTCATGTTGCACTTTTCGAAAGCCAATTTTACTAATTTTCAAAATTAAATTAGATTACATTAATTTGATATTTTAAACAAAAAATTAGATATTCAAAAACTATACGAAAAGTATTATGAATGACAATTTTTGCATATCAATGTGATGAAAAATACATCGTAAAATATTAGTCAAAGTTCTTATCATTTGATTCTAAAAAGGAAAATTATGACGGTTAAAAGTAAAAGGTGGAAGTAATTTGAAAATAATAAATGAGAACTTGCTATATGCTGAAGCTAGAAGGAAGGAGAGTTTGATTGCAAATAAAGATAAGTATAGTCAATAGATATCCCTAGCCTCTAGGCGTATGCTAACGTTGGCATAAGTTTAATAGGAATTAAGCTATGTAACTTGTTATTTTAAAAAAATATAATTTATGTTATATTATTATATAAAAATATAAATTTATGTTGAGTAAAAATTATTTGTTATTTTTATGTCAAAGATATTTCCGTCACATATTAGTACTTGAAGTGCTTAAGAAAAAAAATTAAAAATCATTAAATTCGAGGTCAAAAATTAAAAACCACTCAAAATAAAGGCCTCGACATCCTTTGATTAAAGACAAACTTGGTTGGGCTGAAAATCTAGTCCATAACAAATGGACCAAATTGCGTTTATCTCTGGCAAAATTACACAAATACTACTTTTTAAAAAGGTATAAATATTTTTATTTATTCTAGTTTTAAAACTTTCATTGTGTACAACTTTTCATATTCCTAAAATATCTCTATAAAATGCATTAAAATGAAAAGAATTATAATCAAGTATAGATCCCATAAAACTTGGCATCCTTTTTGCCAGTCACATATTTATTCTTCAATTTTTCTCACTCTTCCATGAAATTGAAAAAATAAGTCAATGTAAATTTTAATTTAATATATAGTATACGATATATAAATAATTTATGAACAACGTATTATGCTTCTTCAATATACCTAATACCCGAATACAATAATATACGTTCAAATATGAATAAATATAAATAAGATATAGAATACTTTTTGTGTAACATACAAACAACATTATATTATATACTCTAGTATATACCAGTTAATATATATAAAAATTAATAATATTAAATATAGTATAAAATAATGCAATATACGTAATATATAAGTACAATAAAATATAAATTTCTTCAAAGAAATTGTATAATATATACTACCATATGGATAAGAGTGATAGATGAATATGTCGGAGTTCTCTAGAAAAGTAATTACACCCTCCGTCCAACAATAGTTATCTACTATAAGAGTATTATTTTGAAATGTCCAACAATATTTGTCCATTTTATAAAATTATGAATAATTTTACACTTAGTTCCTAATTTACCCTTATTATCAGTTATAATTATTTATCTATTACATTTTTCATGACATTGTATTTATTATACTCAAAGGGTGATATAGTAAATTACTCTTCTATTTATAGTATCTTAAGAAATGTGCAAAATCAATAATGAACAAGTATTATTGGACAAAGGGGGTAATGTGTTTTAATATACATTTAATTTTGTTAACACTAATATAGGAAACTCCAATTTTAGCTTTTTATACATAGAAACATTTCTTGGTTTATGGTATAAAATCCTATATACCATGTATATATAAAGTATTCATGGTAGATTATATAATTTAATGAAGGGATTAATAATGGTAGATTATGAAATGTTTTATGTGACAACCTTTATGGACCAACTATTTGATCGGTGCCTTTTAATTTATATCCACTTTTTCAAATTATTTAACTAATATTCAATATCAAGGGATTTGGCCTGAGAATATCTGAATTATAGGAAAACCGGAGTTTTTGTGCGGAATAAATATCTTAAGTAAGTAACATAAGGCAGAATATCAAATTGTAAAGCTTTGATTACTTAAATATACATTGATATAAAACTTCTTTACAAATAACTTATACCCTTTTCCTAAAACAAAGTAGACAAACATTTGAAAAAGTTATTATACGGTTGTTACCAAATTCTAAGCATAATTCTGTTTCTATCTCTGAATAAATTCATCTCCTTCCATCTTTAAAGTTGCTAACAAAAGCTCATTCCAAGTATCAACAGGGCCTGGCATACACCAATGCACACAATCAGGCAATTTCTTTTCATGTGGCCAATGTCCATAATGATTTGGATGTCCATCTGGTCTCATTACCATTGCTTCAGTTGTATCAAGAAATTTGAACTTGACACTACCCCTTTTTCTACCTTCCTTTTCTGCTACCTTAAATTCCTCCAATTGAATCATATACATCTTCAATTCGTATCCATCCAACTTCATTTCTTGATTATTGAATGGTCTTGTTCTGTTGCAATTCCCTCCGTTATTCCAATCCCCATTCTCAAAATGTGCAGGGGAGAATGGCCTTAGCATTACCAATCGACCCTTTAATTTCTTCATGCTTAAAAGGGTCTTGAAAGCTGTACGAAATGCCATTCTGTATCCATAGTAATGAGTATGTTTTGTAACATTCTTTTGATTGCATTTGTGACATCCGATGAGCTGATCGTTTTCGTAGTACATAAATGGCCTAAAGAACCATTGGCCTCCAGAGATTATGACAATATCAGCTTTGTCAACCTGACTTGCCCAGACATCATCAGCCTTGTCGAGATACAGATTCATGAGACTGTAATAGGGATCGCCAGTAGGATCAGAGTCGTAGGATTTGATCAACTGTGGAGACCAGAGGGCCATGATTGTGAAGTTGTAATCTTTATACAACCATCGCCTGTATCTTGTGTCCGTAGTCTCCGATACGTCTACAGGAATGGACGCCTGAGATATAAACATAATATTTTTATTAGCTGATGATTTTTCCAATTCTGTTACAACTATGATTTTGCCAATTCTGTTATCTGAATTATCCAGCATGAACGTGAGATCGAGCTCCCCTTTTTATCAATTACTAATAACTATATATCATAGAATGATGAAATTTAGGCATAGCAGAAAACAGAGAAAAATGGAAGCACAAAAATTCAATGCTTACATTAGCTAGAAGGCACACAAGTGACTGCATTTGATTTCTTGCTAGTGAGTCTCCAACAAAAGCCAAAGTCTTTCCACGAACAAGTTGCAGAAATTGAGTAGCATCAAATAGTGGAAGCTCACAATCATTTGGCTTCCATCTCCAATGTATGAAATCACTATCCGGTCTTCCATATTTCATACAATTCTGTCGATCATCGATCACACAGTTTGTTTCATTTGTATAGTATGGTCCCTTTGAATATGGTACCCATTTTCCCACAAAGATGTTACATGTTTGCTGCCTTATCCCTGTTTTCGCCGAATAGTTAGTACTAGTACCAGTAATTCCTGGAGAAACTTGCTCCGGCTGATCAAGAGGGAGTGATCCATTTTGACTTGATTCAAAATTTTGCAGCAAAGAATCAGTGGTAGAATCAAATGAAGAGTAGCTAATTTTGAGTAAAAGCAGTAACGTCGCGATTGGCAGAACAATTTTTCTGAAGCTATCAAACAACTCTGCTACACCACCCTTCATCTGCAAGTAATGTTACTAAAATCAAATTTTTGTGACCAAGTTATATAGTAGGACAATCAATGATGGAAAAAACTACTTTTAACTGTTTAAATGTTTGGTATTATGGACTAAATGATTATTATCTTGATAAGACTCTTTCAAAATTGAACTAATACCCTGGTTCTACAATATAATAATTGTAACTAGAAGCATATTATATGTACATGGTGAGTTGTACATGATTCGTCATTAAAGTGAAACATTACCTGTTATACTTCAACAGATAGTGAAAATCACTAGATTCTTGAGAGTTGGAGAGCAAATTAATGTAAAATATATATTTCTGCTTTATCTGAATGTTTTAACATAACTTGCTTGTATGTTTAATAGATATACATAGTAAAATTCAATTATCTTTCCCTAGGTTCACACGGAATGTCTTACTATCATTAATAGAACTTATTCACAACTTACTCATACCGACCTTAAAGCGTTACTTTATTAGTACTTGTATTCTTGTCTCAAAATAAATGTCATTTTAAGTATTCAAGAAAAAAATAGTACTAATTGTTTCTAATTATATTAACGAAACACTTCTTCTTAATAGTGCTCAATTCTGGAAAGAAATTCTATCTAATAAATTGGAGTAGCTTAGTAAATTATAGGTATATTTATTATTTTTCTTAATGAGCATGAAATGAGATAAAACAACACTTATTTTGGAACGGAGGGAGTAATTGAATAATGATTATGCTATCCAATTTCAATAACTTGCAGAGGAAAAAGGTGAAAAATAGGTTGTTGGAGACTTAAACATGGCGTAGCTTGGTGGCAATTAGCTGAATGATGATATATCCTGAGTACTTTGCATTGCTTTTAATTAGCTCCTTCTTATCTATGCACTATTTTTGCCTTTTCATAAAGTACATAGTTTTCACGTGTGATCCGCCATTGATAAAAAAAAATAGTTCCCTTAGGCTTAGGATTCCAAATTTCAAACTTAAAGTTATTTTGGCACGGTTGAATATTTTACTAAGTAATTCAAAATATAAAGAAATAAACTTACACAATAATTCAACATCTATTAGTATAATTTTTCGATGGAGAGGGTCCGACGAAACCCCCTCCGCCTCATACATTGACCACCCACTTGAAAAGAACATAAGCAATAAAAATCAAGCAAACTGGATTAAAAAATGTGTAATAGTCTCTAACATGTCCTACTTTTATGTGATAAGATAATACAAGGAGAAAAAAACAACAAGAACACTAATAATTTCAGAAATTAATTCAGAAGAGTACGTATCATAAGAGTTGAAAATTAGAATATTTATTTCAACCGAAAAGAAATTTTGATTGTGATTCATGAACAACCTTTATTTTTCTCTTGCAGGACAAACATACCCAATAAAAGTGGATTTAGCAGCTGGCATTTTCTTTTATTTATATATATATTATTCAAAAGAGGACAAATCTTATTGAGTTATTGTTACTAATCGTTAGTTTTAGCTGTCAAACTCTTGTTCTTTTTGCAAATTTTCATCAAAGTATAGTATACTTCATTAATCATTAGATAAAAGATGTTTTTTTATTTATTTTTACCTTAATTATATTTATTTACGTATGATTCGAGAAAAATGGTAATATAATCGGAAACTTCTAAATTTGAACTACTGTAACACTGCGATTCAAATTGATTTAGCCTATTGGTGACTTGTCTTCCATTGGAAGGACCTACTTTCTATATTAAGATATGACATTGAATTAACTAACTTGGCCCTATATTGTTGCTTTGTGGGCTACAGTTTGCAAGTACATGGTGATGATCGCATAGGTAGGGAATCTTTTCATTAAATTGTTGTCATGTGATCAGCAGGTCACAAATTCAAATTAGAAAAAGAATATCTCGCAAAAATATAAAATAAAATTGCGTATAATAGATTTTTATGATTCGATCCTTTCTCCAAATTAAACTACGCACATAGCCGGAGATTACTATACCGTACTACCATTTTATGGTTGTTGCATATACGATCTAACTTGTAATTTATCAAGTTTTAGATTCATTTCTCAAATGATCATATTTTAAGTGCATCTTGAACGACATGTCTCAAACGAATAAATAACACGATCATTAGAAAGGGAAAATATAGAAATTAGTCTAAAATGTGCCCAAAAATTAATGAGTGCTTGTAGAAACTTTTGCCTTGTAATTTGTTTTGCAACTCTTATAAAATTTCTTTTAGTACCATAGTTTAAGCACATAAAAAAAATTCATTTCATTAAGATTTACAAATCAAAATTTAATACACAACCTAATGATATGCCGTATAGAATTTTTATACGATGGAACTCATTTTTTCATGAAAAACATATTATTATTGTTTTAGTATTAAAATATTGTGCACAATTATTGATGTCTGATTGAGTATTAAAGTAGGCCAAAGGAATAACAATTATGTGATGATTAATAACATCGTCGTGTATAAGTATTAAAGTAGGTCCCAGAAATAAAAAACATGTGATGATTAGTGAGTAATGTTATGTTTGTGGGCCTGGCTGCCCCTGCAATGGACGAAATAAGAGGGGACCGCAGGCTGCCGGTGAGTCCATCGCTCATTCGTCTTCACCGAAATAGCTTGAAATACTAAATATTCTAGGATAAGGACTTTTCATAACCTGTATAAGTATTGTTTTATTGGTGTATCTGTATTATCTTTCGTTGAGAAATAATAAGAGTTGGTGATTGATTGTGGGTTTTCTTTTCCTCGAGGATTTTCTATGTAAAATTGTGTTTTTTTTGTTGTTGTTGTTATTGCTTTCATTAGTCGTTGTCTTGTAACAAATAATGATGTTGTGTATGAGTATAATGTATGTTCTCTTGAAATCTTTTACAATCAAAAGTTGGCAATAATGGCTGTGTTGATTGAAACAAGTATTATGGAATAGATTAATTGAAATATTTGTAATGAAACTTTCACTTGAAACTGATGAAAGTCATTTTTCTTATTTGGTGGAAAAAATCAAACCTTTTATTTGGAGCAAACATATTCCACAAATTGAGGTTAACCAAATATTAAAACTTCGGATTCATCAAGAAAAAACATACCAAGACCACTCTAAATCAATTAGTATATTTATTCATATTTTATACTGTTGTCTTCTCTTCTGAACTGCATTCATTTGCTTTTGAAGATGGGATAACGTCTACGTACATTCTAATCTTCCTAACCCCACTAATGAGACTAAGTACTAGATATGTCATATGTTGTTGCTTTACATTAATTATTTTCCTGTAAGCTATGCATGTGCTTATTGCTTTTAGTAAAACATCAAGAAGGGACATCATTTCCAACTTTTTTTAAAACAGAGCTATGGTTGCATCTTCAGTGCAACATAACTATATATCCAAGAAACAGAGTTCTTCTTTAGATGACAAAAACATGATTCCTAAATATAAATGAAGCAAAAATGAAAATAGAGTACATTGTATAATTTTGTTCTCATTGAAGATTTTCCTCTAGGGATCTGATGGCCTCCATCTTGAACATATGAAACAAGAAATCAGACCAAGAATCAATAGGACCAGGCAAGCACCAATGAACACAGTCGTTTGCCACATTTTCATTTGGCCAATGCCCATATTTACTTGGGTGACCATCTGGTCTCAACAACATGGCTCGCGTTGTATCCATCAACCTAAATCTCTTCCCCTTCATCTTCCCTTCTTTCTCCGCGACCTGAAACTCTTCCACTTGGATCCTATATTGCTCCATGCTTTGATCCTCCAACGCGGTCTCATTACTTCCATATGGCCTTGTCCTTGCACAATCACCTCCCTCATTCCAGTTCCCGCCTTCATAATGAGATGGTGCAAATGTCCTAAGAATCGCTACACCCTTAAAATTTTCTAAGTTGTTGATGGCTTTAAGAGTAGTTTTGAATGCCCTTTGGTATGCATAGGTAGATGGAAGTTCAGTTACATTTGGTATTCCACAGTACCTGCAGCCAACTCGTTGATTGTTTACATAGTAGACGCTGCACCGGGCAAACCAGTGCCCGGCGTTTAAGATAATGTAGTCATATCCCTCAATTTTGGTGGTCCATTTCTCATCTGCTTCATCTAGGTATAGATTGTAGAGTCCAGTATGGCATGGACCATCTGCATCTACTTCTTTCGTTGAAACCAAAAATGGTGACCAATATATTGCTAGAGTGAAGTTGTAAGTTGTGTATTTGTACTTTTTGAAAGATTGATCTGGATTGTCAGATATATCAACAGGATATTCAACCTATAAACACAAAAAGAAGATCAATTGTTTTCATCACTTCTTTGATTTTTATTTAGAAATTAGATTCGTTAATAATAATAATCCTGAGATAAAATATAGAATTATTTATCCTATGTTTGATTAGAGATATTAGTAAATCCAAAAAATATTTATACACGGTTAACTTTGTCTATCCCATATATTGGTACCAAACTAGCCCAAAGCGTCGGCAGCAATAAATTGCTTAATATAAGGACCGCTGTCAATGATTGTTGATTAATGGTTTAATTAGTCAAACAAATCGGTCATAATTATCGATATTTTTCACGATAGATTCTTTTTTTTTTTTAAAAATAAAATAATATTGTGCTATTTGGGGTTTGAACCCAAACTCCTTCACTAACTGGACACCTAATTACCACTACGCCACAAGCATAGCTTTTTTTTTCACGATAGATTCTTTTTAAGCTTTATATATTTTAAGGAGAAAAGCTCTTTATAATTTTGGGGACCCGAAGAGATTTTCTGAGAATTAAAAAGCAATATGACAAATTTGACACTGGCCCCCAATGTTCCTCCTATTGTCGTAAGTCTCTGTTGTTCTTTTCTTGTAGTACTACTTTTCTTTATTTTAATTTTCTTTTTAGGTATGAGTTGAAATAAGAAAAAAACTTTTTTTGGACTAGAAGGAAACCATTTCTAGCATGAAAATGACTATTTTATTAAAAATTTCGCCGAGAAATAAGGAGGGAAGAAAAATCCAAAAGATTATTATTTTCAATAATTTGTAGTTAAATGGTCAATATGATATAATTTGATAGTGGTTGGTGACTAGACTTTGATTCCTCCAAGGCCCCCTATGCTCCCTTCCGCCACTTTACTGTTGATGACCATACTCCTCATTAATCCTATATTTTTTTTTAATCTTAATTTATAAATCATATAGATTAGATGTTCAAATCATAAAAACAATTATTAATGTAAGTATTTGAATAAACTATTTACATCATATTTATTATCTAGGATACAATTATTTTCTAACTTTATTAAATCCGAATATTTTATGGATCAAATTATTTTAAAAAAATTATCTTAAGAAGAATATCACACTTTTTGTTTAAAAATAATATAACTTTATTTTTAGTTTTATAATTTATAACTGCATAAATATTTTTTAACTCTTTTTAACACTACTGTCTTATCCCGTTAATACCAAGATTAATACTTGATATTTTTCTTTTGGAAAATTACAATATTTGTACTTTTTTTATTAAAAAAAAGTATAATAGAAAAAATAAACTAATTTTATAAATAAATAACTAATTTGAAATAAATATTTTTAGTAAGATGTACAAGTAGGGCAGAGCCACCTGAGTTCATTCGAATCCCTTCCACAAAAAATTCTATTATTTATATATAATTGAAATAATTTTTTTATGTATATATATTAGATGTCGAACCTACGAAGGAAATATAATGCACCTTAAATCAGCAGTATTGACTATTGTGTATGGAAATCAACAAAAAATTCAAAGAAAGAGAATGATACCCGGGACAAGAGGCATATCAGAGACTGCATTTGGTTTCTTCCAACTGAATCACCCACAATTGCCACCGACATGTTTCTGACCAAATCCAGAAACTGAAACGGGTTGAAAATGGGCAGCTCACATCCATTAGGCTTCCACCTCCACTTCAAATAATCACTATCGGGTCTTCCATGCTTCATACAGTTTTGGTGGTCATGGATTTCAGTACAGGTCACATTCGTATAATATGGAGCATCCGGATTCCAAATCCATTTTCCACTGAAGACATCACACTTGTCTGCTTCTTTAATCGCTATCTTCTGCTCCTCGAAAGGAAAGTATGTGGGTGAAATTTCAGACGGATTTCGGATTATTAAACCTCCTGAGTACCAATTAAATGGGTGATAAAGAGGGATAAGACCCAGAACGACAACTGCTAAAATTAAAAGTATGAATATACTTGGGGTTCTTTGAGCTGAAGTGGAGTATTTCCCAAAGGGAAGCTCCATTTCTGAGTGTTAATTTTCTTCTATGGAAAGTTGAGAAAGAAAGTAGTAGTAGTAGTAGTAGTAGTAGTAGAGATGGCAGAAATTACGGAAAAAAGTAAGTTGTTAAAGATGCATAGTTCATGAAATTAAGGGGTACCACTTTCTACATGTATGTTGACACTTGTAATGATCCTAATTTCTTCTTGTCATTTGGACCCTCTACAAAATAATTGAACATATTAATTCAAAAAAATTGAATAGTAAAATGTTCTCACCGCCTAAAACTATTCATTTGTTATAAATGAGTTTGAGCTTTGTGTCACGAAGTTTCTGTGGATTTGTGATACCTAGGCAGCGAATGGGTTAAAAGAGAAAAGATGATGGTACAATATGCAATGGTGGTGGTACTATAACATTAACAAGGTATGAGGCTTGTCAGTGAGTTGGGTGGCTCATTTATACCACGCTAGTGATTTGAAAAGTTTATTACGCATAACGTGCGGTTGCAGATTAGTTATCTTCACCTCACATTCCAACTTTTTTTTTTATTTTTTATCCTTCCCTTATTCATGTAGCCTACTTAGTATCGAAAAATTGAATCGAATCGAACTAATTTGATATTTCGTTCCTCAATATTTTGGTTTGTATTTGGTACAATTTTCCCTTAATATTAAGATTCGGTAGTACCAAAATACAGAAGTTTAACTGTTAAAAGATCAAAATAAAAAAAATTAGTCCCAATCCCTGAATTAGTGTCCAATATTTAACTGCTATGATGCTGTCTCTCAAATTTTCAATTATGTTGCTGTTTAGTTGGCGGCAGCTGCTGCTTACTGTTTAGTGCTTGCTGTTTATGTATTATGTTATTTCATTTAATTAAATATTGAAAAAGCGTGCGTTAAAAGAACAAGCTGTTGTTACAGATTAAGAAGGACATGGTGGAAAGACTAGATCTTTTAAAGATGGGGAGGAAAGGTCGTAGTTGTAGCAGTTTGGTTCATAGGCTTTATTTTGGAGGCCTATTTTTTCTCATTGCATCCTTCCTAGAAGGTGGTTATGAGATTAGGTGTCTTTGTTGGTTATGGTAATATTCACATTAGTTACCAAAAAAAAAAGGGAATTGAATTGGTTAAGTATTCGGTAGTCGTACCACTCTTGAAAAAATTGAAAATTGAAATTAGAAAGAATCAAACCGAAGTACGAAACGTCCACCCGTACTTGCACCATTAAAAATAGAAAAAAATTGAAGCTGGTTTGGTTTGTCCATTCTTTGTCATTCACCATAAATATGTCCTCAAAAACGAAAATCATGAATATGAAATCAAAGTTTTCAATACCATACCGTACCATGGGAACGTTCACCCCTGCTTCCACCATACAAAAAACATCTTCAGTCTGTAACGTAACCACATCTTGTAGTGTCGTTGATATGAGTCCTGTCTAACCAGAAATATTCCATTCCTGCCTTTGGTAAGCTTGAACCATATGTACCCTTTGGTCTATGGGGAGAAAATCATCAGCTCTATAAGAATTCAACAAGGCTTTTTTTGCCCCAAGTTTTCTAACAGTACTATAGTTACATTTGCAACTCAACCATAACGATCCATGTAACAGAGTTCCACTGTAATTCACAACCATTCTAAAAATAAATGAAGCAACTAAAAAAATCAGAGTACATTGTATGATTTGGCTCTCATTCAAGCTTTTCCTCTAGGGATTTGGTGCTCTCCATCTTGAACATATGAAACAAGATATCAGCCCAAGAATCGATAGGACCAGGCAAGCACCAATGAACACAGTCATTATACATTACAACATTGGCATTTGGCAAATGCCCATATTTACTTGGGTGACCATCTGGTCTCAACAACATGGCTTGAGTTGTGTCCATCAATCTGAATTTCTTCCCCTTCATCTTCCCTTCTTCCTCCGCAATCTTAAACTCTTCAAGTTGGATCCTGTATTGCTCTAAGCTTTGACCCTCCAACGCAGTCTCGTTACTTCTATATGGCCTTGTCCTTGCACAATTACCTCCGTTATTCCATTCTCCACCTTCAAAATGAGAAGGTGCAAAAGTCCTAAGAATAGCCACCCCCTTAAAATTTTCTAAGTTGTTGATCGCTTTAAGAGCAGTTTTGAATGCCTTTTGGTAGGCATAGGTAATAGGGAGTTCAGAAACATTTGGTATTCCACAGTACCGGCAGCCAACTCGTTGGTTGTTCTCGAAGTAGACACAGATCCGGGCAAACCAGTGGCCGGCATTTAAGATGACGTAGTCGTATCTTTCAATTTCAGTGGTCCATTTCTCATCTGCTTCGTCAAGGTGAAGGTTGTAGACTCCAGTATGGCTTGGACCATCTGCATCTGCTTCTTTTGTTGACACCAAAAATGGCGACCAATATGTTGCTAATGTAAAGTTGTAAGTTGTGTATTTGTATTTTTTGAAAGCTCCATCTGGATTATCAGATATATCTACAGGATATTCCACCTGAAGAAAAACAGAAAAGAAGATCAAAATTCATATTACTTCTTTGATCATTCTCACTTCAATTTGTTTTAGGATTAGTTTAACACTAATTCAGGCACATGCAGTGGCAAGTGTAGAGTTTAGCAAGAATCCAGGTTGTTTCCCCAAGTGATACTCGGGCTTAATACAAAATGATGTATTAATTGACTAATACAAGAACCATGGTCAGGTTTGTTAATGATTTATTAGTCAAATAGATCTCCAGGAAGACACAATTAACTTTCTACAATTACGAACCCAAGTTACCAGGCTTGGTTCTCTAACAATTTGGCACAATTACATTATTCTAAGCTATACTTTAAATGAAAAATCTCTTAGGATCTAGCTAAATACTCTCTTTGCCGGGAAGTCCCCAGTGGGGTAAAATGCTTCCTAACAAAGGCAACTCCATACCCAGAGGGACTCGAACCCTTGAACCCGAGACCTCTAATAAAGGATTAAAAAATATTTACCACTCCACCACAACCCTTGTTGAACTAGCTAAATAGTCTTGTTATAATATTGGGAACAAAAGAGACTTTCTGAGGATTAAAATGCAATATGACAAATTTCCCACTGGCCCCCAATGTTCCCCTATTAGGGTAAGTCTCTCCTTTTCTTTTCTTGTAGTACTATTTAATCTTTTGAGGGATGATCAATATTCCCAGTTTCAATTTTTGATTGTCATTCTTTCTTATTACTCTGTATAAAAAGAATGTTTTCCCCTCTTGACAACTCTTTAGTTTTAACTTTCCACTTTAACATGTTTAAAATTACAAGATTAAAAAAAGATTTTAGTAAATCTTAAATATCTTTAATTTTAAAACTACAAGATTCAAAAGTCTTTTACTTTCTTATACACTCCGTGTATGTCAAACCCTACAACAAATTAAACCAGAGGGCATAGTACCAAAATGAGAAATAACTTTTTTGGACTAGAGAGAGTAAATCACTTCCAAAATGAGAATGACTATATTATTAGAAATTTCATTTTCACCCCAAATAAAAGGAAGGAAAGATTATATATTAAGCTTTAATAGTTTCAATAATTTGTAGTTAATATTTATGACTAGACTGGCATCTACTTTGAACAATTAGATGAGATTAAACGACGAACTAAAAGCTTTACATTTCAAGTCCTTCATTTTACTGTTCATCATCAAATCTTTCCCATTATTCCTCCACATTTTACTGCCTTTCACAGCTTCATGCCGGAAAACAGTACTCGTTGACTTATCAATGGCGTCTTTGTGAAATTTGAACTAAATAATGAAAATTTCTAGTCTCAGGTAGACCAAATCTTCAATTAGCCCTAATTTATGCAGCTAATCCAAGCTAGAGTTTATCGAAACTATAGCATAATATGGTAGAAATAGTAATTAACCATAGATCAGCAAGTACAGAGTTAAAATAGAAGTAAAATTAACACTAATTGCAGAGAAGAAAAAGGGTACCCGAGCCAATAGGCATATCAACGACTGCATTTGATTTCTTCCAACTGAATCACCGACAAGTGCCAACGATTTGTTCCTAACCAAATCTAAAAACAGAAACGGGTCGAAAATGGGTAGCTCACACCCATTAGGCTTCCATCTCCACTTCGAATAATCACTATCGGGTCTTCCAAACTTCATACAATTTTGGTGTTCATGGATCGCATAACAGGTCATATTCGTGTAATATGGAGCATCCGGATTCCAGACCCATTCGCCGGTGAAGATATCGCATGTCTCCGGCTCTTTAATCTTTATCTTTTGTTCCTCAGCAGCATGGTAATTGGGTGAAATTTCAGAGGGATGTTGGGTTGCTAAATCTGCTGGGTACAAATTAAATGGGTGATAAAGAGGGATAATACCCAAAACGACAACTGCTAAAACTAAAAGTAAGAATATTCTTGGGGTTCTTTGGGTTGAAGTGGAGTATTTCCCAAAGGGAAGCTCCATTTTTTTTGTGGGAATTTCCTCAATGAAGAGTTGAAAAAGAAAAGTAGAGATGGGAGAAAGAAGAAAGGAAGAAAAAACAAAACAAAGTAGGCTGTTAAAAATACATGGTGGATGTAATGAAAAGAGGGCCAGTTTGCACATGTATGTTGACTCTATGAACGTGCTAATCACATATTTTAAGCTTCTTTGTACTAAGTATTGATTCCTCATCAATTAGCAGATATAATTTGGATTTAATCACTACAGATCCATCATTTAAGATCTACTACAATCTAATTATAGCACACAGACACAACTAGACTTTTTTACTTCTACTAGGGAGGTAGTAACTTCTTCTTTTTTTAGTGTAGTACGTAGTAATTTGATTAAATATTCCCTCGTTATGTAATTATTTGTATTAGTAAATTATGAAATCATGTTATGGAACCACCAAAAATGTAATTAGAGATTTTAAATTTGAGCTTTTGATATAAAAAATTTTCTGGTGAAAAGCACAAATACGAATCCCTAGTGTCGGTGGCCTCATATGTATCAATCCCTAGTGTTGTAAATAATTTATTTGGCAAAACGCGTGGTGAACTGGTGGCTCATTAGTTGTCTCCACTATACAGAGGTAACTAAGGAACACGTTTTCAATTTTTTATTTATGGACTGATCTAGTAGTATGTAAAATTTTCAGGAACAAAATTACTTAAGGATTAACAAATATTGCATCAATTTATCTATCTAATTTTTACTTGACATTAAAATTAAAATAGTAAAGAATTTTTTTAAATTTTATAATGTTAAACTAAAGATATATAAAAAAATATATATACTAAAATAGTTTTTAAACTTGTGATCTTGAACATATCATACAAACAATTGTAATTAGAAAGTTGAGCAAGAAAATAAAAGGAAATTTACACGAATAGTATAATGTTAAGAGTTAATTATATTATATCTTTACTATTTTCCAAATTACAAAAATTCCTTAAATTTGGTGGAATTCCGGTACACTTGAAAACATTCCGATACATCGCGCTTCGATTTCAGATACATCGCGTAAAGTAATGTATTTGATCAATATATTATGTAAAGTGATGTATCCAAGAATAGGAAAGAGTAAAATTTTTTGTGAATTTTTCAAATGATAGGAAATTTTAAAGAATATTATAAATAAGTTGTGTATTTAGATAATATTTCAAAAAAAAATACATTTTCTTAAAGAACCTAACAAAAAAAACACCAACAAATTGAAAGAGAAGAAATACTGATTTCCAAATGGGAGGAATACCGTATTAATTACGAGATAACACTTCATCTTATGCATTTATTATAGTATGAAAAAACTAATACACTTAAGCATTATAACTACATAGTATAGACTATTATAAGTCGTACTGTTAGAGATACATTTCTTGAGTAAAATGGAATAATTCCAAAAGATAAAATTTACAAAAGTGGTATTTGCATTATCTTTTCTCTTTTTTTGTGGAACAATTCCCCCCTTCTAACCAAAAAGAATTACCCTAATAAGTAACATATCACAAGACAAAGAAACTTTTTTTCCAGAAAATCCTAAGAGATGAGATATAATAATTAATCTCCCACTTCTCTTTTCAACAACTCTACTAAGAAATCATTCCAAGCATCAATTGGTCCAGGCAAACACCAATGAACACAATCATTAGGTACCGTAGCGTTTGGATTAGTATATCGACCATATTTACTAGGATGACCATCTGGTCTCAACAACATAGGTTGTGTTGCATCAAACAACCTAAATTTCAACCCTCTTCTTCTCCCTGCTCTTTGTGCAATCTTTAATTCATCCAATTGAATCTTATAAAACTCCAAATTATAACCTTCAAGTTTCTTCTCATTCCTCTTAAACGGTTTAGTCCTTGCACAATCTCCACCTTTATCCCAAGGCCCGTTCTCAAAATGCGACGGGGCAAAAGTCCTCAAAAACGTTACACCTTTATAGTTTTCGAGGCTATTAATAGCCCGAAATGCAGTACGAAAAGCCCGTCTGTAGCTGAAATACGATGTTACATGGTTAACGTTCGATTGCGGACAGTAGAGGCAACCGACAAGGCGACGATTTAAGTAAAACATTGTTGGACGGAAAAACCAATGGCCAGCAGAAATAATAACATAATCGAAACCTTGGATTTGATTCGTCCAGAATTCGTCGAATTCATCAAGATACAAGTTGAAGGGTTGTGTGACATCATTTGGGTCGGTTTTTTCAGTTTTTACCAAATAGGGTGCCCAAAACATGGAAATGTTGAAGTCGTAGTCTTTGTAGATCCAACGTCTGTTTTCGTCTTGTGTTTCTGAAACATCCTCTGGATATACAACCTGAAACAAACAAAAATAAAATGATTTGAAAACCAACGTCTGTTTTCATTGATTTACTTAACATTATCTTTTCTTTGTTTTTAATATGCAAAATTTCAAGTTTATGTTTGACTTAATTATTGTGTACCTCAAAGACCAAGCCTTAAACTTTGGTAGTATTTTTATGAGGATTCTATTTATTGTAGAATTTCTATTCAAGATTATTGTAGTTCCTTTTCGGACAGTTATAGGACAATCGTCTATAGGTGGTATAAGGTAGGGTAGGGTGGGTGGTACGGCTTAGATTGCGATCAATCTTATTCCTAATTGGGTATGGGCTGAGGTTAGAGCACATGAAGCTCACCACTACCTCGTAAGGGCATTGAGACCAAAATTTCAAACCGAAAAAATGAATGAGTTAGAATTAAGGACTATTTAATGAAAAAGAAATGAGAACTTACCTTGGACAAGAGACATATCAATGATTGCATATGATTTCTTGCAACAGAGTCTCCAACAAATGCAAGAGATTTACCTCTAACAAATTCCAAGAATTGAGTAGGATCAAATATGGGCAACTCACAAGCATCAGGTTTCCACCTCCATTTCAAGAAGTCAGAATCAGGCCTTTCAAATTTCAAGCAATTTTGATGTTGTTGAATAGCATAACATGTATCATTTGTATAATAAGGTCCTTCTGGATTTTTCACCCATTCTCCTGAAAATAAGTCGCAAGATTCACTACTACGTGATACTTCAGATGACAAAATTCTAACATCGTCATTGCTAAGTTGTTTCTTTTGATCTGTTTTTTCTGGGACGACTTTAGGTACCGTGAAGTCACGTTGATGATGTCCGGACTTTTTTCTAGCAGGTTGATTATGTCTATCGAGTTTTTTTCTAGGTTCGGGTTGCACTTTCTTATCTGTTATGTCACTTTTGGTCACAAATTTCGTACTTTTATCATCTTTTTCAGGTTTTTCTTGTTCTTGTTCTGGTTCATGTTGTTGTTGTTCTTCCTTTATGGGCACGTTACAAGGTTTCGTGGGCACGTCCTCCACAGGACATGGATGATTGACTTGCAAATCATTATCCAAATGATCAACAACCTGAATTGTATCTTCTGAATTAGAAGAAATAACTTCTGAAATTTTCTTTTGAGAAGAATAACGTATAGAAGGATAATAAATAGGAATAATTGTGAATAATATGGTAATGACAATAAGAGGAGCAAGTTTTGGTGCGGTTTTTCTTCGTGTTTGTGGTTTCCCTATTGGAAGTTCAGAGGATTGGAACTTCATGGAGAAAGCTTTGTATGAACATTAAGAGGAAAAAAATATTACAAAATTATAAAGTAAAAGAGAAGAAGAAGAAAGAAAAATAAGAGAGGTAGTGAGTGAAGAAAATATTAAAGAAAGAGAGTTTACGCATGTTACGCTAAATTCATTAACAAAGTGGTGGTCATCTCTTAACCAAAACTTAGTAACACCATAAGCGCCAAAACAAAGAAATTAGTAATAATATTATGATATATAGCTAGCATTGAATCCAGTACACATTTTTTTATGGGATAGTTATTTTTTTTTTATAACCGTTGTGTCTATACTCTATACTAGCTTAATTTTGTATGCCTTAGATTCTATTAGGTATCTCCTATCAGTATAGGCATGAATAATGCTTATCAAAGCTTAGATAAATTAAAAAGAAATTATTATACCTAGCTTTATTTTGTGTTTCATATTTTGTGAAGTATTTATTGAAGCATTTTGGGATAGCTGAATACAATTTGTAAACTTTTATTGGATGGGTGAGCAACATACAAGGAAAACACTGGGCCGTACTCGAAATATTCAGAATGAATTGGACTTACTGTTAGGAGACCATCAATTGTTAAATGAATCTTTCTGAGGATCCTAAACAGTAAACAGTACCCTTATAATGCTGGCCCTCTAAGATCAAGAAAGAATATATTAAGGATCAAGACTTACAATTCATGAATTTCATATGGCTAACATAGATTGATCAAAGTAAATATAACCTGTTTTGAATCTGAACTGGTAAAACATTACTGATGGAGTACAATTTTTTTACAGTCATTTTTTAGTACTATTTGTTAGGATGTCCCACATCGGTAGAAGGATGGGAAATTGGTCTCCTTATATGGACTTGGGCAAACCTCCTCCCTTTGAGCTAGCTTTTGGGGTTAAGTTAGGCCCAAATGTCATATCTTGACATGGAATTAGAGTCGGGAACTCCCATTTAGAAGTGTTCACGCTCCAGTTCACCGATGATGGCCCCCATTTAGAAGTGTTCGCGCTCCAGTTCCCAACCGGGTGTGTTCAATTGGACACCCTTCGCTAGAAAATTATATCATTTATATAAGTAAAATGCCTACTTAAATTGGTTAAATTTAATATTTTGGACACCCTTAACATAATGAGAAGCAACGGCATAGTGGTGTGAAGCTCTCCGTCTCATTTTATATGTCACATTTTTACTTTGCACTTACATTAAGAAATGATGTAACTTTACCATTCTATCCTTATTCAAATTTTTTGGAACTCAAGTTTTCAATAAATGAATATGAATTATTTATTTTGATTAATTAATTTAACCAATGAACATGAATCATTTACTTAATTTTTCTAAGTTGGTCAAATGTATATTTTCAAGGCTAATAACTCACAAAGGTAAAAAAAAGAACAATATGGTAATTTATGCATTGATTTTATGAAATGATAAGTACTCCTATTATGAACCAACTATTTATAGAAAGGGATGACATATAAAATGGGACGGAGGGAGTATTAAATTTATTATTTTTGAAGTCATTCAGATATTATTCATCAAAACAATTTTTAATTAGAAATCTACTTCTAGTAGCCAATTCAATTCTCAATGAATTGGACTTAACTTTTTATTTCTTTTCATTAAAATTTGAAATAAAATTTTAAATGTAATTATTTAACTTAAAGTTAATTAAAAAAATCTAAGCTATTCATAAAGCGAACAAAAGAACACCTCGTTTGATTCTGATTCCATTATTCATGTCTCAATATTGTTGTTGTCATCAGAGATTAGTGAAAACTTGAAACATAAAAATGATTTCATTTTAAGCTTAACCCCCCCTCCCCCCCCCCCCCCCCTTTTTTTTTCTTTGTTCGTTCACTTCATATTAAATTAAACACAAATATTAAAACTAAATATTATGCAATTTGTTTTTAAAATTTTTTGGAACATTTATTCGTAAAAAAAAAAAGTAATATTAATATTAAGTAGTTTAATTTTAAATTTTTCAATGCACCCATTTATCGAAAAAAATTGCTTATGTAATACTTGAACATTCTTCGTAAAATTTCTAGCTTCACCACTGAGTGTTAAGATGTTCCACATCTAACACTATTTTGTCTACAAGTTATATAAGTACTAACTTGTTTGGATCATTAAAGTTACAGTATAAAATGCAAATACAAATTACGTGTACTTTATTAAAATTGCAGTATATAAGACTAATACTTGTACCTTTTTCTATCCTTTGCACAATCAACTCCATAGCTCCATAAGCAATATACATTATAGTTGAGACAGTAGTGAACACACTCCATCTCATGACAGCTCTTCAAATAATTGGTGAATAAATGAAGGAATAATCATGAAAAGAAACAAACAACACAATTCGATCCAGAATTTAAAGTTTATGAATTTATACAAAAATCTCAAATTGATATATAACAATAACTATCCTCCACAGTAAAAAATTTAATAAATTTACTAATACATATAGGATCTGAGTAAGAATTATTCTATTCACGTGAACCTATGGAGTTTGCTTTATCAAAGAGGGTTGTGGCCTCTGGTCCACTTTTATTGTAGAGCAGAATATATGTCTCAGTATTAATTAGGATTCTCAATCAATCAATTGTCGAAAAGAGGACTCGACATATACCCAAAGTTATGGTGAGGACTGATGAAGGTGTTTGCTGCCTCCATTAATGATAAATACATTCACCTTCGTTTGTTTATCATTGTTTTTCCCTTTTTGTATTTTTCTTCATGTCTTATGGAATCTCATCTGTACTTGTCATGAATTCTAGTGCCGTATTATAATATTAAAACAACAACTCTTTTTTTGACAAATTAATCAACTCTCGCTATCAAAATAAGAAGAAAAAAAATGCAAAGCACAATTTTTATAACCACATGAAACCAAATATTTAAGAATGGCAATGACAAAGACTCAAAAAATCTGAATATAAAAGAAAAAGAAGCTTGATTAGGTCACTCAAGAAAAACTAGGATTTATATTTTATGAGTTCAATATTTAAGATTTTAGCGTGAAATTCATTATATCTTTAATTTTATTCACTATAACAAAAGTACTATGTTCATATGAACCCTATAATCCGCTTTTAGGTGATTGTGATAGGCTGATGTATAAAAGTAGAATATTTCAGGAAACAACCGTATGTGCGTAGTATTTCTAGAAGTTCTCATATTATATACACAAAATAACAAACGGTTCCACTACAATATTATTGAATGTCAAGGCTGTAATACTTTTCCAGCAAAAACAAAGAAGAAAAAATAATATAGGAACTGTTTAGGCAATCGTAACCCATGTCAAGATGGGTCGACCCGATAAATTAAGTTGGGGTATTACATCTCCTATGTTTGTTTGGATAAAATGCATGAGTCAATTTAGACTAAATAATGACTAATTAATAATTCAACTAGCTGATTCAAAATTATTTGTTCATTATTCTTTTATTTATAATGATAATATCAAACAAATTAAAATCCAAAAAAAAATCCTTCTATTTATAAAAATTAAGTGATGATTTTTCAGAATAAGTCGTATTTTTTATGAACATGTCTGTTCAAATTAAGATATATGTATATTACAAATTTTCTAACAATTTCTATTGTACATTGCAATTGTAAGTATAAATTATATCAACTATACCATTTTCTCCTCTCTTTTTTTCCTCGGATAAAATGCATGAGTCAATTTAGACTAAATAATGACTAATTAATAATTCAACTTGCTGACTCAAAAATTATTTGTCATTAATTCTTTTACTTATCATAATATATCAAACAAATCAAAATCCAAAAAAAAATCCTTCTATTAATAGAAATTAAGTGATGATTTTTCAAAATAAACCGTATTCTTTTATGAACAGTCATGTCTATTCAATTTTAAGAATATTTAATGCATGAGTCAATTTAGACTAAATAATGACTAATTAATAATTCAACTTGTTGACTCAAAAATTATTTTCCATTTATTCTTTTATTTATAATGATATATCAAACAAATCAAAATACAAAAAAAAACCTTCTATTTATAGAAATTAAGTAATGAATTTTCCAAATAAGACATTCTTTTAAAACAGTTGTGTCTGTTCAAATAACGATCTCTCTATATTAAAGATTTTCTAACAATTTCTACTATACATTGCAATTGTAAGTTTAAATTCCATCAACTATTCCATTTTCTCCTCTCTTTTTTTCCTTCTCCTTCTTCATCAAGTTATAATAAAGTGTGGATTCAACTCTCATATTCCCTTTCCTTATTTCCGTAATCTTATGGAGTAATTTTTTATGAAGAAATAAAAAAGGTTATTGGTTTTTTCATCAAAGGAGGAGTCAATGTCTTTTTCTTACTACATATATAACTGAAATATGCGTGGTCCACTTTAAAAACTGTTAAAATGCCTTCATTGCATGATATCCAACCGTTATTCATTCACATTATCTCCCTCACTTGGCTTTCCTCCAAACGTCACCTAAAACCAAATTAACACCCCCTCCACCCCCCCACCCCCACCCCCACCCACGCATAAAATAAATCTCCTTACTTTCTTCTTATCTGTAAAAACTTCAAAGATTACAGCAATTTTTTTGGTAGTACCACTACTATAAAAGCAGCCTCTTGTTTTATATTTATTGCATTAACAACATCACTCAAATTCCTTTTTAGTCTTTGTCACCCTTGTATGATTTTGCTTTACTTTCTTGGTATGCTTCTGTTTTTTCTTGTCTTTAATTTCTGTTTATAATCTTTCTGGTATTGGTACTTATAGGTTACAGTATTATACTTTTTGCAGGGTGGTTTTAATTAATCAAGAAGAAAATGATGGGATTTGAGAGATTGATGGTGAATTTGAAGACGAAACTGAGGAGGTCCTTTAAAATGAAGGAATCATACGACAAGATTGAGAAGAGTGAAAGCATGAGAGTGGAGATTAGGAGCAAGAAGGCTCGTAAGCTTATTGAACAGACTCTTAAAATTGCTGATTCCCCCAAATCCCGAAACTATCCTTTCTAGTAATCTGTTTAGTATCTTGTAATGACAAAATTAATCCCAACTTTCATAAGAAATCAAATTATATGCAGAAGTTTAGTGGAATCTCTATCTTCTTCTCATTCTAATTTTAGCATGCACATGAAGAACTAGCAGTAGTTGTTGAGATACATGAATCAATAGTTAGTCAATAAATGACTCTCTGTTTGCTTTTCCTTTTTAGACATTTAGTATTCAAAATTCACTGATTCAATATGATTCCACGCGCAGTAATTGTATTAAAAAGGAAAAAGCATTAAGAAGTTCTTCATTTTGAGTTTTGACCATACTTGAAGCCTTTGATTACAGATGCTTTATGTCAAGTTGTGTTAGTTTAGAAAATAGTGACAATTCATAGATGAGTTAACTAACATCCATTGCATCTATCCACCCCTCTCTCAATAGATTAAAGCAGAGCACGTTTTAGTTATTTGTTTTTTTCTGACCTGTTTAGCCTGAATTCTTGCATTTGCAGCCACTAAATTTTTTTCACCTTCTTTTACTTTCCGGAGTATTCTCCGGTAGAATAGAGAAGTCGTTTTTTTTTTTTGGGTAGATTCATGACACTTCATAGTATTTCAATAATGTTTTAATTAATAGAAGTTATTTAGTTTGTCGTTGAATTTGTTGGAAATTTTTTTTAGACTAGAACTAGAAAGCTTGTTACTTAAGAATGGATTTAGAATATTCATATAGTCAACAACTAATTTGAGATAGAAGTAATTGACTGATTGAATGATTGGATGTTGATACTTAATAGTTAAGTGATATTATATTTACTGAATCTGTAAAATTCCCCATTTCAATCTTTTTATACTAATCAACAAAATATAAAAAAGAAGTCTCATTCAGGCTTTGTACTAACCAACTCATATAAATCTCTGGTAGATTGTCCTGCTTCTTACCAGATCTACTCAACTATCACTCTTACGTAGGATCCACTATAGAATAACTAAGCATTGTTTAGTGGGAATGATCCAAGAAAAGAGAAAACAAACAAGGGAAGAAATTAATTAGTGTCTTTATTGTTGAACTATTGCCTAGACTGAGATGTGATTAGCATGCAACAAGACAAATGATGAGTCATTGACAGAAAAAGCAAGAAATGAAAAAGCTATGCAAACAAAAACACAAATAAATTAAAGCCATGCAAGTTTGGCTTTGTGCCTACTTTTGATAGTCAGCACAGCTAAATTATTTTAGGCAAAATGATGGTAAGCAGAGTACGGTAATGAAGAAAGTGAGACATCAAAGCACTACATGTTAAAAGAAAAAAAAAAAAAAAATTACATGTGTCTATGGTGACGTGGATAGTGCCTGGACATATTCTCTATGTCAGCTGCAGGATCTGTTTTTTACATTTTTATTTTTTCCCCCTCTTGGCATAAGATATGTTTCTTTTTTTAATATGTAATTCACCATAAATTCTAAAATTAAAATCATAGTATTTTTTTCCCTATAAATCATAATGACATTTCGTCAGGTGTAAGTAAAAGAGTACTAAAAATAAAATAGCGAACAGCACCCATTTTTTTACTCAATCATAAAGAATATAAACCAATAGTTAGTTACTATGTAGCTGAAATTTATCCTTGCTGCTTATGAATACGTCGAATTGGGGAAAGATAGTTAAGTCAGTCAACTATTTGTGATTGGTAATGATTTAAAGCTCTCTATTCAGCATTAAAAAGAAAGGTCAATGGGACCTCCAATAAGTCTATTAGAATTGGCTCTGTATAAGTGAAATCTCATCATCCATACATAACGAATTAATAGCATTCTTATTTAGACTATGACTCATAGGGAAGAAACTGATTTATCAACTAGGACATATATAAAAATATTGAGTCGAACTCTTCTTTGTTGTGAAGGTAATATAGCTATGAATAGTCACTAACTTCTGAGAAAGTGTAGAAGAATGGGACCTATCATGGGACATACAATGCGTTAGGGATGTTATGATCATTTTCAATACCAAGCTTGGTTTGATGCATTGCATATTCCTAGAATTGTGTCCAACTTAAAAAGGCACCTCAAGGAAGGCGCCCACATATGCTTACTAGTTAATACTGTCGTGCACAAATGGTCATATTATGCTTGTCTTGTTCTGCCTTCTTTTTCTTGTCCTAGACGAACCTAAATTAAATCTCTTTGGTCCTTAGTTACATCACTATCCACGTAAGAGTTAGAGAGAAGAATGATAACTTCTGCAGACCAATATTATATTTAGGGGCTAAAAGAAAAAGGGAAGTTTTTTGAGATACCTAAGGCCGTATTTAGCAATAAATAAAATGGGTGTAAATTATGAAAAATTAAGGTTCATATCTCAGTACACACAGGAAAAAAAGTGATTTCTTACCTCACTCGAAGCTTTGGCAGACAGAGTTGCTCCTTATTTGAATTAGGGAAATAGTAAAACTTGATGAAATAGTTGAAGTGTGTGCAAATTCCGAACAATACAACCATTGTCAGAAAACAGTAAAAATAGTGTTCGAGTCTTAATCACTTCTGTTGTTTGAAAGTTGATTTGTTATTCCCTCACAATGGAGTTGACAAAAATACAGTGGATAAAACCATAACATAGAAAGTGAAACAGCTAACAGCCTAATATAGACAAATAATATAATATTAACTAACCGTGTAGTTCTGAAATTTGGTTAGATGAATGCATTTGCCTGACTTAAGTTATGTCATTTTCCACTGTTAATGCAGCTCCATGTCTCACATTCAATCGTCATCTGTAACTGCAAGCAAGTTCAGATTTTTGGATCTCCCCAATGACTTTTATTGATTTCCATAGAAACAGTATATTGAAACGTTACAGCAACCTAACTGCAAAAAATTAGCCAAGTAAAGAAGAAAAATTTGATGAAGATAAAGTCTTTAAAGAATTAGCTGGTAGAACTATCATTATCAACGTGAGGTCTTGAACTTGTCGATTATGAAACCATTTTGATTGTAACATCAATTGCTCCTCAGGGTTTTATTAGCTACATTAGATTTGTAAGTAACAATAAATTTTCCCATGAGGTTGACGCCCTTTCTATATTTTAATTTTCTCCCATGATCTCTATTATCTTTTTTAATCATTTTCAAACTGGCTATGAGAGGAGGAAAACAAATCTAATTCCCTCTGCATACTTCATATTACAATCAAACAATGTGAGAAAACGTTAATAATATATGATAAATCTATTGTAGACATTACTCTTGTTGCAAGCTTCATGCCAAAGAGGCAAAGACTACTTGATAAACAAGCCCGTAAGCCCTATCATACATGCCTCAGGGTGTGCATTTATTGTGGAGAAACATGATGATAGACATGACAATAAGGTAATAGCCACATTACCTGATCTATTAGTCCTCCAAGCATGCTAATCACAGTTAGGATGGTAAAGAATTTGTAGACCACCTCATCGAATACACGTCCATGGAAGCAAAGGAGGATCTGGACAATAGGAATGAACACAGAGAGTCAGGCAGAGATTACATTTTGACCAGTAATTCCTCGGTTCCCGACAGCAACATTTACAACAAACTGGTGCTATTGGTGGCTACACAAGCCAAAATATCAAATGTAGAGTTCAATAACACATAATTATTAGACAGACTGAAGCACCTTCTTTCTTCCAAATCGGGGGTGCTAAGGAAGTACACAAGCTCCTGTTGAGAAAACTTTAGCTAATGAGAGAAATCATTGAAACAGCATATGAAAACAAATAAGATAGACGCAAATTAATATATGATCTTCCTCTTTTTTTCTTAAATATGGGAGTGAATTGAAAAGACAATTTTCTAAATACAACCCAGTCTCGATCCACAAAGACCACATTAGATGTACTTCTCCAGTTCTCTTTTTTTTTTTTTTTACGTGAAGCAGTTCACTTAAAACGGCCAATTAGGCGTAGGATACAAAATCCTTGGCACAAAACTCGTAAGTCTTAAGTGTGAACATTGGCATTCAGGGAGAACATTTTTCTCCCATGAGAAAGTCCTGGAAGATTTTTTTTTGGAATAGTTTGAGAGTACAGCTTTTTAAAAATAGGAAAAGCATCATCCACCTTTGTAACGAAATGAAACTAACCTTGTACAAAAGGCCATTTGAGAACCTTTCTGGTTGATGCATATGACAAGGATTTTGAGAGCTAAATTTCAAAATAAACATCAACAGCCAAGAACCAAAGCTTTCAGCTGATCCATCACAGCGACAAGTGAGAGGTTCAGCAGAGATCAATAACTAAAGAGAAAACTATAAGTAAATCAACCACGCCTCAATCCCAAATTAGTTAGGTCAACTACATGAATTCTCTGTACCAATTCCATTCTATTCAGTTCCATTATCATAATTAGACTATTTTAAATTGCTCCTCAACCTGCCGTAATATTCCTCTTTATCTGCGTTTTAGAAGTTGGCGTAGGATTCAGGCGGACAATTGTAAGGGAAAAAATGGCAAGGGTTCTGGTTAATGGCTGTGTTCTGGATGTAAAAGGCGTACTTAATGAGTGGAATGATTCATAGAATCGACATTATTGCGCCAGATTTAGCTACAATCTAACGAGATTAAACCTCTGAATCATGATATCCATTGATAGAACAGGAAAAAATAGATGAATATTCAGAAATAAAAGTCTATATAAAGCAAATGAATACAATCTCACAAGAAGGTAGCACAACCCTGAAGATGCTGGGGATTTGCATCGTCTTCTTCCATGAAGCTCTGCTGAATGGAGATGGTCCTCAACCATAATTCCTTTGCCGGGAAAGGGGGAATTTTGAATTCCCACTTGCCCTACGCGGGTTTTTTAATACCTTTTTATTGGAGCCTGAAAGAACTTTCGGTCTGACCCGACTTCTGTTTTACGGGGTATAGAAATTTCCGACTAATTTTTATTTCGTAACAATAACTTCCCAAAAATTTCAATATTAGGCATACCTTGTCATTTAATTTATTTATTAATAATTTTTTTAATCTACTTAATTTTTTATATTAAAATATATTATATATTAGATTTTTAATTATTGGATATTTGACCTTGGCTTTGGGGTTTTAGATTCTAGAAAAAAGAATAACAACGAGATTCTTTAATAAATTATTTATACATATTAGGTGGACTTTTAACACAAATATAGAATTTGCACCAAAATAATTGAATTATGTTGAACTCCTAATTGCAATGCTAGCTCCACTGTTACCTCTAATATTATATTGTTGATGACCACATTCCTATAAGGTGTTCCACGTTAATTGAGAAAATGAATGTATATGATCTCGGTGTTATTAAAAACATATCTTGGGTGCAAGCCA